CATGGAGCTGGGGAAAGACGAGGGCGAGCCGTTGGGGAGCATGGGGAGTACGGAGAGCACGGAGGGTGGGAGTTCAGACGAGGGGCTCGTCGAAGGACGAGGACGTGGGGATCGCGCGCGGGGACGAGGCGTAGCCCCCCGCCGCCCCCGCCGAGTAGCTGCCCTCCACCTCCTTGCGCACTGCAATCTTCGCACCGCCGATGTCAATATCGATATCAAGCTTGTGAGCGCGTCGTAGTCCTCGCCGAGCGGGCGGAATGCGAACCATGTGTGCCGCGCACGAGAACGCCGAGAGCTCCGCCTGCGCAAGCCAGCTGCAAGGAGGATATATATGTCAGCCACGACGCACAGTGGAAACAACGCATACGTACTCTGCGCTGCGGCATGCTCATCCTCACAAGCGGGTACACCTGTTCGCCGCCACCCCACCGCCGCCCCGCCCCTCCGCGTCCCGCACCCGCGCCTCCAGATGGCACCGCCGTCTACGCGTTCACCGCAAGGACGCACACGGCGCGCCTCCGCGGAACCGCCGTCCCGCGCACGCACAAGCACCTTGACGACCGCCCCACAGTACAGCCACTCCACCTGCGCACCCACACGCCCACGCCCACGCCCACGCCCACGCCATCCCGCTGTACAGCACACACCTGCGTCCCGTCCGCCGACAACGCGCGGAACGCGTGGAACATGCGCAGGGGCGGCGCGGATCGTGCGCGGGGTCGTCCGCGGCAGTCTCCAGATCCACTACTCGCATCCAGCTCCCCGCTCCCCGGCCGCACCCCCATGTCTATCCCCACCCTCGCGCACACCAACCCCGCCGCAGGCGCGCTGCGTCGCACTGTGCAGCGGGCGCGTCGAGTATATCGGGCGGGCGGGCGTGGCCCCGCTGTCTACTGTGCGGGGTAGGCAGCCGTCGCGTCGGCGTGGTGCGGCACAGAGGAGTACACCGCGGGGACGAAGGAGGAGGCGGGCGCGGAGGCGGCTGCTCCTGGTCGTGTTGCCGGTCGTGGTGCTAGGCGGGTGCGGGATCGGCGGGCGCGCGGCGGGGATGGCGTGCAGGGCCGGGCGCACGAGGACGAGCGTGGGCGAGTGGGTGCGGTGGGGGAGATTATGTTAGTTGGGGCGGGCGGAGGAGGAAGAGAAGGCTTACGATGACAATGAGGCGTTCTGTCGCCTCGAATCCGCAAGGCACGCCGGTCTCACCATGATCCTGGAGTCTCTCCATGCCTGCCTGCTCGGGGGGTCGTGGATATACAGCGCGCAGAGCGTGCTGTAGAGGACGAGGTCAGCGCCACGACACGAGAGGAGGGGAAACAAGGGGGACAGAAAAGAGGGTGTAACGGGCAAGCAAAGGTATCGCGCATCCTGTCAGCGGCGACGGACGTACTGGCATCCATACACGATGCGGTTATAAGCAGGCGCGTGCCCGCGGAAGGTATAAACGGACCAGAATGGACGACGTGGAGTAAGAGCATCACGCACATGCAGTATTTTCGGCAGCGACAGACGTAGTGGCATTAGACCCAGTTATAACCAGGCGCGCAGACAGAACGCGACGAGTCAAGTGCGCAACGGCGCCATCGAGCTTGAGGCGTGGAGTAAGAACCTCAGCGCATCCATCTCTCAACGCGTCGTAGGAATGACAGAAAATCCATCGAGTGAAGCAGATTCCCCGTAAGTATTCCAATCAGAACTTGCGTCGAAGTCAAGAGGCTTTGTGTGGTAGTGTTGGGCATTGGGCTCTCGTCGCACCGCCACACAGCTTCTTGCCTCGAAAGTCCACCAAGCTCAAACCAAGCTCTCAAATCGTGTTACTTGCGGGGCTGGCGTCGTAAATCCAAGTCCAATTTGGAATCTGGAACCCAAAAGCGTAGCTGCGATGCCGAAATATATAAATCACGCCGGACGTGAATAAAACTTAGTCTCTCCTTCAACAAGGTCAACTCGTGCCTTGAATAAAACTCACGTCAATAGCTTTTCGCGAACCCGCTCTCCCACTTTCCCGCCCAAAAACAGCCCTCATCCCGTCATTTAATTCGTCATCAGCTGCACTTTACTTCACTCAACATCCAACTAACCCAAATCGCGCTCGCAAACGCGATACTAATCGCGCAAAAAGAAAAGAAAAAAACAGCATTCTCCTGCTGGGTCCAAGGCTGTTTTCTTGACGCCGAATCGCACCTGTTTTCTCGACGCTGAACCAAATCTGACCTGCAATAGAGCCCGCGGAATCAACCCTTCATCTCGGCCAGTGAGGTCTGCCTTCTCATTTTTTTTACTTCCCCCTATATATCATCACTTCCTCCAGATCTTCTCTTTCCACGTTTCTGTTCTCACTTCGGACCCGATTTATTCCTCCCTTCCGAGGCGATTTATTTGAGCCAAGCCAGAGTCATTATGTGCGGTTTCGAGGCCTTCCTTCACCACACCCAGACATCCCACCGCCTCAAAGCTCCATAAGGCGCAAGTCGCTGGAGCCGCTTAGTTTCTGTCTGTGTTGTGTCAACCGCGGACTCGTTTCTCAGGCTCTCGGATCCCCACCTCTCGTCACTCCTTACTTTCTGGGTATCCAGCGGTGATTTATCCCCACGTCGCATCTGCTGAAGTGATATCGGGTCCCTCTTTGAATTCTTCCTCGATACTCCGCTACTTATATTCTGATGGATCTCAAATTTTGGGGTTGCGGGCGTGCTTTGTTTTGACGATTCTTTCGCGGCTTGCGAGCCGGTCATTATGATGCGGACTGCATTTTGTTAGCGACCCACGAAGTCGAGGTCTGTCCCCTTCATTTTCACTCCCGCCCTTCCTACGTTTCACATGTTCAGTCGATGGCACGGGTAAACTACTCTCCACAGAATCCGCAATGCCGTCTGTCGGACCCGACTTTCGCGCCGTCCGCGGCCGCAATTGTCGAGCCTCGAAGGCGCGTTCCAGTCGTTTCACTGTACGTACGTACGACTTCAGATAGCTGCAGGAACATATTTCGGTATGCCCTATTATATATGCCGCGAAATTTACATATTAATACGGCTACTAACAGTCGTCATTTAAACTAAGATTCTGGAATAAATTCTAGATCGCGCAGCAAAATCGGCACATATAAACCCTTGTTTTGCGATAAAAAATATTGTAATTATCTTTGTTCAACGCCTGAAGTTCGCGCCGGAACTCACTAAATGCAATAGACACAAAGGGTATAAAACAAAGATTCAAAGAAAAAGCGCCTCGCTCCTCCCCTTCGTGCAGCACGCGAACTTGCCCAACTACAAACCAATTGAACTGGAAAACCGCCATGGTCCTCGAGGGCATATTGGTAGATTTGTGAGCCTGGTCATATCGGCTCCTGTTTTCAAGCTGCTTTTTTAGTAGCCGAACGCTGGGAGGTATGAGGTCAAAGTTGAACCAGACGACCACCATGGTCCACAAGGGCTTATTTGTATCTTTATGAACCTGGTCACACCTGCCTTGTTTCGGGGTGTACCAACACTCTTGAGGAGACTTGAGGATCCTCATGAGGGCAAAAAGACATATCCTGTAAAGGAAATCAACCTGCCGAGTGCCCTGTGACCAAATATGTCACAGATAATGCTAAGAAGTGAAAAATATAATCCTGTCTGGAAGGAGCTGGATCATGCCTTCGGAGGGATTCGAAGCGTCGTCTTCTGGTGACCAATGACCAGGAGTTATGGTCAACTTGAACCTGACGACCACTATGGTCCACGAGGGCTTATTGATAGGATTGCGAACTTGGGTATATCAGTACTTTATGTGTTCACCTACAAAACAGCGTAGTGGCGGTGAATCTCAGATGTGAGTTTTACATTTACAATCAGATAAATCAGGTTGCGAATGAATTTAAACTAAAATATATCGAGGCCAACAGATCTTGGGCTAATAATCCTGGGCTCGCCGAAGGAAAAAACAAACAAACAGTCATATGTCCACCCTATGCCCTCCGAGAGAATTGAACCCGTGCTAAGACTGCATTCCTTTTAATTTGAACAAACGACCACCATAGTCCACGAGGTCTGAGATGTATCTCTTGTGAACCTGGTCATCTCACTTCCTTTTTGTGTAGGGGGGCGTACAGAAGGACAATAAGTATGCGGGCCCGGTTGCATCTTACATTTGAGAAATATATCAACGTATTCAGGCAGTTAAAGGACACCTTCTCGCGTAAATGTCGAACGTAGCAGATCTTGCAAACCCGCATCTCGGTTGAGAAAAAAAATAACCCCCAAGTAGCTTCAACATGCCTTCGGAGGGAATTGAACCCCCGCCTTCTGGCAGTGGTTCAGATATGCAACACAGTTGAACCAGACAATCACGATTGTCTATGAGGGCTTATTGATAGATTTGTGAGGCTGTTCATGTGCCTGCTTTCCAGCCATTGTACTCGGGCCGAAAAAAAAAAGCTTTTCGCACGCATCTCATACTCTCGGAAGGAATTGAACCTAGCTGTACTCCCCGGCTACACCTAAGTTGAACCAGATGACCACCCTGGTCTACCAGAGCTTATTTGTATCTATGTGAGCTTGGGTATATGTACATCTTTTTTAAATCAGAGGCACACAGAAGCTCGGTGACTGTATATTAAGATAAATTGGCTTGTGCAGGCGACTTTTCCGATGGATTGATTGTACCAAAATGTATTTTCTGAGCGAACCCGCGTCTTGGTGAAGGAAAATAATATCTCCTAAACAACTACCTGATGTCTCGGAGGGAGTCCGACGTCGAACCCCCACCTTCTGGCCGTACTCCTGGGACAGCTAATTTGAACTAGACGACCACCATGGTCCACGAGGGCTTATTGATTAGTATGTGAACCTGGGTGTGTCAGCTCCTTGTCTAAGTATCATGTGGCAAGGCAATCATAGTGATTGTCCAGGCATAAATAGCATCTACAAGAACTTCAAAAGCAGCTGAGACTGCAACAGGGAATGCCTCCACCCTGAGATTGATTGAAGAAAAAAGAGTCACTGCAACACTGCATACGCACATGCCCTCAGAGGGAATCGAACCCTCGCATTCTGGATTCTGGTAGTAGGATATATACTCCTTAAACAAACCAGACAACCACCATGGTCCACGAGGGTTCATTCATTTCTAGCTCAATGAGCTTGGGTATGGGGGGGGCTGTTTCCGGAGTTTATGTGTAGTGGGAAGGAGGGATGAACGTGCGTTGGACTTTAAGTTTATGGCGTGAGTCGGTAAATTAGGATTGCGAGATTGCGAGCCGACAAAAAGGAAGCAGCAGGAAAGGGAAAGAAGACGCCGTGGGCTGATAGACTACTGGTCGCGGTACCCACGAAATCTAAGCTCGACGCTCCGAGTCGTGAACCGTGACGCCGCTGTAGATCCAGATCACAGTGCGGGGACGTAAGATGTACCGGTGCTTGACACAATCTCTCTCCCATATTTGACCTTGAGCTTCAACTTGAACTGTGGCTTTGACGAAGTTGGGAGAAAGACATGTGTGTCCTCGGATCATTTCCGTACTTCACCGATTCCGGAGCGCAGGATCGGTGGCCCTTGACAGGCACTAGGATCGGGATGGGGCCCATCCGCGCCAGGAGGACGCCGTTTATTAGCACGGCGCCCCCGGTGTTGTCCCCGCCCCGGGACGCGTACCCTTACTGCGTCTACGAGGGTACCGGGATCAGTAATATACCCCGCACCGGAAACATCAGTGGCAGACATTGGTAACCAGTAATGGGTGACCCCCTACTCATTGTGAACCACTGAGCACCACTGAGAACCACTGCTAACCACTACGAGCTCGGCAGTGTTCTATAAAAATTGAATAGTCTGTGAGAACCATTGGATACTACTTATGTAAATCTGAAAAGAAAGTCTGCAGGCAATCTCTGCCGTCAACAATATTGATACACAGCACCAATAAGTACTGAAACCCAATGTTACCCAACCAATACTGCAGTGGGAGGCTTATTTAATCTCACTACATATTCCACCACCATTTTTTTTTTTTTTTTTTTTTTTTTGGTGGTACGTTGTTGTCCGAAGGACAACTAGTTCTGCCAGACAGCTAACGATAGGTTAGCCTCCTTTGGACGTAATGTGTGGAGGATTTTCGACCTCCTAAGAGAGATATTATCCACCCCTGAGGAAATGCCTTACGCACGAAGCGGTAGCAACAGTGTGGGGCTCAAGCCGTTTTAACAATTCCGGCCCCTCCGACCTACGGAAGGGGACAGGGGTCTATTTGACCTCAACGGATCTATACCCACTAAAACCTCAGGTCCTCTAATCCAGTTTTCTGGTAGAACCCCCTCGTCCTTGAGTGTGCCTTTCCAGGTTTCTAATACAAGGGGGATTGACAGGGAATACTGTTTTCCATGCTTGAGTTCACTAGTTAAATTTCTGTCAATGCTCAGACGCTCATTTATTATTTGGAGCCATCGGTTATGCACTGCGGGCTTACTAGCGGGCACACCTTCATTTGAGATAACGCAGTCATTTCGCGCTTCCAGATCAGGAAGGCGGACTCCGTAATGAGAATTTTATATAAACGGTCGGCCGCGGGCGTTGGTGGTCCTTCCCCGTCGAAGCGGGCTAAACCACAGCCCAGTATCATACCCATTGACATCTCTGGCCATGTGTTGCACTCCTTTCTCCATAGATCTTGTGCTAATTTCCAGACCTCACTCTGTCCTGGTTTCTTACAGCGGAGTAAAATATGCTCAAGGCTTTCTGTCTCGTCACAAAAACTGCATGTTGCACGTTCTTCGAAGCCAGGGATATTCAGCCAATATTTTTCAATGCGGTGTGCTCCGTGTATTGACTTCCACAGAAAAGTCCTGATCTGATGTGTTATGTCTTTGTTTTTAATTGACCGCCAAATTGTCCATGCTGCGGGCATTGTGGAGAACTGTTCTTTTATTCTTGGTTCCGGACTTAGGAACCAGGTCTGTTTGACGCCTTTGTCTGTCCGTTGACCGTCCCCTCAGATCACCAATTTGTCATGATCTCATCACCTTCTTTTTGTCATATCGCTTTACTCACACCACATTTGTATGTTTGCGTTTGATATAAGTAAAGCCTTAACGACCGCAACAGCTCCCGACTACGTCTTCTGCTTCAACGCTTCAGCGCTTCAGCCTCTGCCCTTGTTTTAAAGATGTCTCGCCACACAACTATTGAAGAGCTCCTCGAACCGCTCGAAGGTTAATACTATTTCGCGTCCTTCGTACTTTTGACCCACTCTGCGTGCCAGCCCGCCGGTCGCTGCCTTTGCCTCTGGATGGTCCTCTCATACAACGAATGGTCTGGGTGCCCAGTACGTCTCTTGGAGTCCTTGATTCCGAAATTAGGAACCAAGTCTGTTTGATGCTTTTGTCCGTCTATTGTCCGAGCTACAAAATCTTGGCTTAGTCATGATCGCATTGTTTGACGCCTTGTCTCTTTTACCACGGCTGCCAGCACCTGTCCTTGCCTGTCTGAGCCTAAAGCTCTCGCTTTCACCTCTGATCTATGTTCCTCACCTGGCAAAAATGGCTCCCCCCCCTCCATCGAATCCATACCTGAGCCTCTTTTCTGTATCTGCCTCTTATATCTTTAGTCGTATATTCAATTTCTTTTTTGATGGTCTCATCCTCGAGCAAACCCTGTGGCCAGCTCCATCGGCTCCGACTTCCCGCCAAGGCGACGATGTACCCATCATGACGCCTCGCGCCAACTTTTCACTGGGACCGTCCCTCTTCCATCGACGGGCTCGCCAGACCATCTGCTGCTAGACCTCCCACAGCTTGGGAGGCTCCGTCCTTGGCTGGTTCCTCTGCCCCATCCGCTGCGGCACCTGCTCAATTCCGCCTGCTGGCATATCCATCCCATCTCGCTAGTCTCCCTCGTCTCCTTACTGCCGCATCTGACGGTTCCTCTCCTTTTTTTAATTCTTGTTGGTCCCTCTGCTCGTCGCCCTCCTTATGCCTCACCTGTCCCTTCTTTGTCCTTGCTGTCCAACTGTACTTATGTCTACTTAATGTCACTGTTGATGGTTCTTTGTTCTGCTTGTCCGCTGTTCTTCGCAACCTGCTACTGCCCTCGTCACTGCCCAGAATTCAGCCTCCTAGATGTTATCCCCATCGTTTTACGAAATGACATTAGTGTCAATATGGACGATGGCTCGCTCTTCATGACTATGTACTTACAAGTTAAACAGGGAATTCTAGCTCCGGTTCTGGCGACTCTCCACGTTGCCGATATTGGTATGACTTGCTTCATTTGCAGTTCCATGAATATATCTCGTCTTGTCACTTCATCCACCCGTTTTAACTTGAAACACCTTAAAATGCTTCCTTTGTCCCACTCATTCCATGTCACCGCCACAATGCGTAAGAACGAAGTGCTGTTGACTCTTTTGAGGCATGTTTGCTCGCAGACATGTCCCGGCATCCAACCGCTCCTCTTCAAACCATGCAGACGGCATCCATCTGGTAAAGTTCTTGCCCTCGACATCCATCCAAAGCAGAGGAAGCACGCTGGAAACGTGCAGAGCGTCTGGTTACTCATCGCACCATTGATTTCGATGCCACCGCTGACGGCGCACAAGTCGAAGCCGCACCCACCTTGAGCAATAGAGGGAGCTCCTGGGATATTGTACGACAATATGTGTTAATTGGATATAATTTTCTACCAGAGATGCAGCCTGGAGGCTCACAGATGCAATCGCAAGGTTGGCTGCCCTCTAACGGTGCGCAAGCAGGGACGAGGGCTGCCTCCGAGTGGCCTTTCTACAGTATATGCGTGAAAGGATGATAATGTTCGACAACTTCGACCACAAAGACGTCACCTGGATGCTGGGCGCCTCGCCATGCCAAACCATGACCCTCCAAAACGAGGGGGCAATACTGCCGTACAACCAGCATGAGTGTGAGTACAAGATGAGCTTTGACCGCAATGTAATAACAGTTTTATTCACAGATGCCCCATGGAGATGGGCAATAACATTGCTTGTACAATCGATCGTGATGCAAGCAGGAAATTGGAACCCGTAGACTATATTAAAAATGAGACCAGCCATAGATGTTAATTAATGACAAATAATATTGCATGATGCGGATGGAGGAACCAAGGCTGCCCGGAGGGCTTCTGTATGGTATTCTGGATCATCAGTATATTCTCACTGGTAGTTTTCCTGTAAGGTTTTTTCCTTAGTTCTTTTATCCCTTTATACGCCAGTGACTGTGTCAGTGACCGTAGTTTAGCGCCTCGAAGCATCTGGTCCGGATCGGCGTGGAGACTGATCGCATCAGGATTGACTTTTAGCGCGCCGTCTCTCGCGAGCTGCCTCGCTACGACCGTTCCCACCGTCGGCTCATCTACCGCTTTTAGTGTTGTCTCCGCCTCCCTCGCTCTTAGGGATGCAGCAAGTGCTCGTAGTGGGCCGACGTCGTTACAACCGATCCAGCCGCTGTCTTCGAGCGTATTTATCTTATTTACCGCTTCTACTACTGTTCTGTGTTCGAACTCCATCCTTAGGACCATTTGGAGCGGGGTTGTCTGGACAGCATATAGCGCGGCGACAATTTCTGCACTTGAGATTGTCTGGTCGAAATTTTCTGGGAGCCTTAGGCTTTTGTTCCTGTGGTTGCCTTCGCCGTACCATACACCGGACCCCGCCTGTGCGTCGGCTTGACCGATTCTAATGCAGGCGCCGCTCACGACTACTTCTCTGCTCGTCCCTTCTAAGTTGACCTGGACCGCCAGTGGGGCAGCGTCCCCTGCTACCACTCGGTTTAATTTCATTAGGACCCGCAGGCCCTCGGAGATGTGAGATATCTGGGGCGGCGGCTTAAAAATTACAGGTGCATCGTCTGCAGGCTGTTGTTGCGCCCCCCTTCCTGGGGTTGGTGCTCTCGGGTCATCTTCCTCAGTTGATAATATTAATTTTCGCTTTGTTTAAGAAACAACTTTATATTAATTCTGTCTTCTTATATCAATGCTTACCAGCTACATATTCAAATGACACGGAATGAAAGTGACAGTGAAAATGAAAATGAAATAAATGTGAAAATGAAATGAATGTGACAGCGAAAATGAAATTACTGCCGAAGGTGTGTCCTGAAATGAAAATAAG